GGCATTCCATTACTACTGACGTTAAGCATTTTAAAATTAAAATAAAGTAAAAATAATATACTCCGATTATTTAACATCGATAATAAATGCTTTTACTCAATGGATACATAAAACTTACAAATATAATGATGATAATTAATATAAAAAAAAAAAAAAAAAAAAAAAAAAAAAAAAAAAAAAAAGCGGCAATAATTCACAACGATTCAATGCTATTGAAAGTATCGTTCATATACGAGTAATTAATAATTAAAAATTATGATTTGACTCGAGTTTTTGAGCTTTTAAAATTTCTCACTCAGCTTTTTGCATATATTTCGAAATGAGAGGAAAAGAAATTATTAAAAATTTGCGAAATAAGTTCAATATAAATTGACGTTTAGTTTTTCAGGTGCAAACATTTCAAATGTAAATTTAATAAGCTTGAATGCTTATTATAGTAATAAGAAATTTGCGTACTCTACAGTTAAATATTTCAATATGATACGTGAAATTTGCACGACCGGCTCTCAATTGTATATTCTTGAGCGAACCAAGCATTTTTCAAAATCTATAAATATACGATTATGCTTTTATATTTTAAAATTATAATGGATTATCCATTTAAAATAAACAAAAAATTAATAAAAAGAAACTGAGAATGTATTTGCATATCGGTCAGCTACACCCATTACTTTTTAAAATATGCATTAATTGTTTATAAAAATTAATTTGAAAGAAATTATGATAATTTATCGGCCATTTATTGATAACTAATGACAAATTAATATTAATATCATATCAAGGAAATGATAAAAAATATATTTAACTGGCATATATACAAAATATATTTAAGCGATTATTTTAATATTTAGACATTAGAATAACCGTTTTCTTTTTCTAAATAATGTAATTGTGTTAGTTATATAAGTGCTAATCTTAATATATTATTATATTAATATAATTGTAATATTTCACCGATATTTTCTTTCTATATGTTTCATCTAAATGTCAATAGCTTATGTTAATACGTTACAATTGATTAATGTTTAATTATAAATTTAATTATTATCATAAGCATTTTATAACATAAATTGTAGACTATTTTTAATATTGAATATAAAATATTTTTTCAAATATGCATATTATTGAGAATATATGTATAAAAATAATTTGTTTTGAAATATACGATTATCGTTGGCGTAAAGAATATGTTTTTCTAAAATATTAAATAAAAAATCGTATAAAATTGAACCGTTATGTGACTTGTAAATATTTGAATTTTTAACTTAGTTATTTGTTACAATATATATATATATATACACACACACACACGTGTCCTTAACATAATATAATATGTAATTTAATAATTATACGCACCAAAATTTAAATAATTTTCTAATATACTTACTCCTGAGGGAGGTGAAGAGCTCGCAAAAGGTAAAGTAGTTGGCTGTCCACATGCATAACAACGATTAGCATTTAAATTTTCCCGAGACGTTGAACCTATTAAAATAGTACCTGTAAGATTTGCCTGATCATGAAAAAATCGAGAAACGTTTATTTTGATTTATGTAAGATATCTATTTTACCAGGGCTAAGTGGTCTTGAACAACTAGGCGAAGGATTGTACGGCATTGGACTTGAAACTGTTCGTCCTCTAATGCTAACACCAGACATTACAGTTTCATTATAATGACGTTCCTCTTCCATTTCCAAACTAAAAATTCACATACAATCTTAGTATATTAAAATTGATATTCCCGATAAGTTAATTCTATATTATTTTAAATCTCAACAATTTCTTTAAACATTTTGTAATTCTGTCAAACATTCAATAAAGTCATAAACAATAAAAAGTGCAGTTGCTTTTGTAATATTTTGTGTCAATACTTTTAATCATCCAATATTAGATTTTTTAATTTTTGATCAAATACATTTTTTTAAGTTTACCTCGATTCTGATTCTGATAAATGTCTACAAAGTGCTTCACGTCGTTCAACTTCAAGTTGTAATTTTCTCTGAAGCCTCAGGTTTTCCTCACGAATGTGTTTTTCTTCATTCACGTATCGCTGCATCTTTTCAGTATCTATTCATTATAATATAATAAATAATAAATCACATTACAAAATTTTAATGTTTTCAATGTTTCGTTCATGTAAAATTTAACAAATTATTAATATACATATTTTCTTCTTTTAACTACGGGATAATATTTTGTATAGCATGAAATATATTTTACAATTTAAATAATATTTGATTTTACGCATCATTTTTGTTTTACGAACATTAATATTATCAGCCATCATTAAATACATTGTCTTATAATAATAATAAAAAAATCACGAGCTTTTGAAAATGAAGTAAAACTCTGGAATTTTGGACTATACCTACTACTTATTATATATATTATATTCATTCAAATATATTTCTTTTCTATCGGATCATCTATGAACTCTGTGTTACTCTAATTTCTAATCTTAATTTACGACGAATACACTAGCGTTATGCAAAATGCAAATACTTGAACATCAATTAATATGACAATAATCCAACTATTATTGGAAAATAAAAATTTCTGCTTGTAATTAAATTAATTTTATTGTAAAACTCTGTGTATATTTTTTAAAAATAAATCCTCGATATTTCATTTATTAATTATCTTAAATAAGAAACGGAATTGCCAGTTAAGACATTAAATTTAATATAATAAAATTTAAGCGTTTTAAGACATTCCTCAATCTAATAGACTTTCTAAATATTGTAATTGAGAAATAATTGCGTATTAGAAAACATACGTTCTTGTTGAGATATTAGCAGATTGTGCCTTAGTCGTGCCACTTCACTTCTTAAATTTTGAATATGTGTACTGAGATTCGTAGCAGTATCTCCATTATTAATATCTCTCGGTGAGGTAGGATCTGATACAGGTTGATCCAATTTGATTTGAAGAGATCTTTTTTCAGCTTCTAATTTGTCCATTCGCTTCCATAATTTATTAACCAATGCTTCCTGCTCTTGCTCGAGTGTATTTTCCAATTCAACTTTTTCTCTTCGTAACTGCTCCAAATTACTCTGTTTTGCCAATGTTTCAGCTTCTAATTTTTCAATTTTCCTCATGAGTTTATTCACAAGACACTCTTGTTCTTGCTCCAAAGTCTGCTCCAAGCGGCATTTTTCTTGTCTTAATTGACTTAACTTCCGAGACAAATCGTTTGTTAAACATTCCTCTTCTTGTTCATAATGATGCGCTAGAGTTTCTTTTTCTTTTTTAAGAGCTTGAATTTTTTTCAGCAATGTATTGCTAATAAATTCTTCCTCTTGCTCGGCTTTGGCTTGCTATAAAATATAAGCCAAAACACGATTAAACTTAAATTGAGTTTATTATGTTATTATAATAAAATAATGTTTATAAGAGTTACACAAATTTAGTAGACGATATGGATAGATAGTATAGATTTTCCTGTATTGATATTAATTTATCGTTACTAGTGTGATATATGTAAATTTTCTTAATTATAAAATGAAATTACCGAAGTTAAGGGTCAAAGATGCGATATAATAAATTAAAAGGTACTTCTTGTAACCTCAAATTATGCAATTATTGATTTTCCAACTAAATTTATTAATAATTTATATTGCAATTTTAGAAATCACTTTAAGAAAAATTAAAAAGAAAAACAAAAAAACAAAAAAACAAAAAAACAAAAAAAAAACTATAAAAAACAAAATGTGTAATAAGATCTTCATTTATTATAATAATAAAATTTCATCGAATGAGCATTCGATAAAAACTGTTAATAGATATAACATTTCCTTTTAATATAATTTTGGGTAAAATAATTTTTAACTACAAAACTTTCTGAAAAATTTTATAAGAATTATAGGTATACTTATGAAAAGTATAAGAGTAGATAGGTGTTGATAGTAGAAAATTTTTTATATTTGTAAATATTCATTAATAATATTCTTACTTTTTAAGTTACTGAAAAATTAACAAATATAAAATATATTTGAAAATAAATCAGCTTATATTTACTCATTACTTTATTAAAAGGTACATGTAATTCAATATCCTTCACAAAATAGATTAAATTTTTCTATTCAAAAGACATAGCAATTCTATAATGTATGCATAATATTTACTTTGATAAAATAAAAAGTTTTATAACTATTTAAATTTAATCAGGCAAATATAATTTTATCTCTATTTATCTAATTTTACATTGATTAAACAGTTCTATCGGTATTCAGGAGTTCCATCAAGCATATTTGCATTTATATTTATTTCAAATTGTACTTTCCAAGCCATATTATTATTAAAAATATAAAAACTATTAATTTACTTAAAAATATTTTAACCAATTTGTGTAAGTATTATCTATAGAAAGTAGAAAAGAAATTTTTTCTTTATAAAGGGAAATTATCAACTCTTATATTAAAAGCCAAACAACCTAAGCTCAGTCTGCAGCATCGATTAATTTGTTCGAGTTCAATTTAATCGAGTACTTTAGTGTACAACAGTAAGTCTTATAATCTCGATCAAAGTATCTTTTAATCTACATTGTTACAAATGCATGTCAAATTGCTAATTGTATATAGAATAAATATTTTTATGAAAGTTTTCTACATTTTGTGTAGTGGGATGTGCTCGTTATCGTTTAATACGTGTTATTCTTAACAATATATTTTCAAAGGTCACGTAACACCCTATTGGGAACAAAGAAACATTTCATAAAAATTCAAATAAGTGATTGCATATGAAAGCCAGCAGTGGTATTCCCTTGGATCATCTCTTCCGCTAGTTTATTGCAATGGACAAGGAAGAAATCTTTTGTACACCTACGTTTACATGAGTTTAAGTAATTAATAAAGATTGATAACAAACAATGAGATATGAAAAGCATTTGCATTATTTATTTTCAAAGTAGCTTAAAATTTGGCTGCCTCGGTCAATCATTAGAGTCCGATAATAGATTAGGGTTTCTCAATAACAAAACAGCAAAATCATTCGAACGCGAGATACCGAGACAAATTCTCGATACTCGACTCGATCAAATCACGAAACGAAGACAGAATATGCTAAATGATCTCAACGGCGCGTATTTCATCTCTCGGCAAGTGCACTCATGGCATGGATATAGCAGCTATCGGAGGATCAGAGGCTCAAAGTCGAGAGCGAGATAGAAATAGATAGGCGAATAGTTGGCGAGGGGCGGCGACGGGGCACGAGGGGCCGGGGGCGATTGAGGAAGAGGGATGAGAGTGAGCGTGAACACAATGAGGGGGAGAGAGAAGGCGCGACCGAGCGCGGAGGGCAGG